CTAAAATTATAACTAAACATTTCTCTTACATCAATGTGGTATGTCTGGACAACTATTTTATACCCATTTGAGCATGTGTATCAGATACTTTTGGGTTGTATCTACTGGTTGTATCAGATACTTTTTTAGTATCAGATAAAAGTATCTGATACATACAATGGGACCAATCCCTACTCCTCTCCTACCCTTCTCCGCCTATCTCAAGTCTATTTCTCTTGCCTGCCAAGAGATGGAAGCAGTGCTTCTTGCTTTAATTTAATTTAAATGAAATAAAATGAACCTTGTGAAGCAATAAGAAAACCATCTCTTATCAATGGAACAATGGATTGGGATAGCTACAGGGATAACCTGGACACTGCTCTTTCCATCCCCGTGTCTATCAAAACACAAGAAGAACTGGAGGAAGCTGTAGACATTTTCACAAAAAGCATCCAGGAAGCAGCTTGGACATCTTCAGTACCCAATCCTCGGACCACAGAAAATCTACCAAACTATCCACAATACATAAGGGACTTTATTAGAGCCAAGAGAACAGCTTGAAAAGTTTGGCAGACGAACAGACTACCATCATATAGACAGGTATTTAACAGACTAAACAATCAATTAAAACGACAAATACCAAAATTCAACCGAGAAAAGTATGACATATACATCAACAATCTTTACATAGAAAAATCAGAACTTTTTGCTAATCACTTCTCATTAGTTTTCACTCCACATATTAATCTGTCGAACATTGAATTGAACATGATAACCATGTACTCAACTCCTTGGACACTCCATTACAATTAACCCCTCCTCCCACCTCCTTTTCCCCATCTCAGGTTTGCAAAACAAATTAAAATGTTAAAAAGAAAGAAAAGGTTATGACTTAATAAATGCTGAAGTGCTAAAGCAAATCTCCAGGAAAGCTCTGGTGTTTCTAACTACCATATTTAATGCTATAATGAGGACTGCCAAATTTCCTATTCAATGGAAGTATCCATGATTAATAAGCCAGGTAAAGAAATTTCTTCCCCTTCAGCTTATAGACCTATCAGTCTACTTCCTATATGTGCCAAAATATTTGAAAAATTACTATACAACAGACTCCATAACAGATCAAAAAATGTTACTCGATTATCAATTTGGATTTAGATCATTACATTCTACCACTCAACAGTTACACAGCGACACAGATTACACGGCAACAGCACTAGAGCAAAAGATGTATGCTACTGGTGTATTTCTGGATGTTGCTGAGGCATTTGACATGGTCTGGCACCAGGGACTTCTTTATAAACTTAAAAAAATACTTCCTTCCACCAACTATCTCATATTACAATCATTCCTCCCTGATAAATTTTTCTCTGTTCGACAAGGCTCTGAAATCTCAACTATCAGACCAATTCTGGCCGGAGTGCCCCAGGGATCAATTCTTGCACCACTGCTCTACATAATTTACACACATGACATTCCCCTCTCCAGTGACACTTTGATAGCCACCTATGGTGATGGCACTACTATTATCACAAGGCACAATGACCCCACACATGCTTCATATACTTTACAAAATCACTTGCAAATCTTACACGACTGGTACAAACTTTGGAAAATAAAACTAAATCACAACAAATCCCAACACATAACATTTTCACTCCGACGCGAAAACTGCCCTCCTGTCTATCTTGACAATGAACCTATTCCCCAATCTGACAAAGTACATTACCTAGGCCTAACATTTGACAGAAGGATGACATGGGGCCCACACATCACCGCTAAGCGAAAGACACTAAATCAACGATTTAGACTATTATATTCCCGGTACTCCTTGTCTAGGGGGCCGCTACTGACTGCTATCTGCCAATGCTTATAATCTGAACACTGATAACTCCCATAACGCAGTGATAAGCCTTCTCCTACTTCATATCTTCGTATTATTGAAAGTATAAACAGATAAAAAAACAAATGTAATAACAACAAAAATACTTTTATTTGATGACAAATATATTAATGAAATAATAAAAAAAAAACACTTTAAGAAGATATGTACATATAAAACATCAAAATGAAATAAAATAAAAACACCTTTCAAAGAACATATTTACATAGAAAAGAAAAAATATAAAACATAAAATCTGTTTTATAAAAAGATAAAACATTCATCTGTTTCTCGGCAAACTCCACCAAACATCCACTGCTGAGCAGTGTTAACGCGCGCTCTGTGACAAAACCTCGTACTCAAGCCTCGTACATCCTCGTACGCTTGCTCATTCATAACTTCCACTGTTATAATGCCAGTGCTATTGTTTTTTTTATAGTAAAATTAGATCAGAATTTTTTAGTTTTACCTCCATTCATATATTTATTGTTTCAACATTCAGGCCAGTAATATTCTATTATTTTGTACATTATTGTTATTCTGAAGGGACTTAGTCCCAGAATAAAGTTTTTTTTTCTATCTATCTATCTATCTATCTATATTTTAAAGCCTTTTTACATTACTTTTTTTTAAGTTAATGGATCCAGAAGTAAAATTAGCTTAATAAAATATATAAAAAAGGTTATATATTTTTATAAACTACTGAAAACGTTATATAAACATTAAAATAGCTAAATAAACTTCTTACAGTACTCTTCATAAGTATTCATTAGTAGATCCTAGATTTAATTTGGAGGAAGGACTAATTTTTTTCTTTTTTCTAAAAACAAAACAACTACTTTTATGGAAGGATGTTAGTGGTTCTGGAAGGCCAATAAAAATAAATTATTGGGGCATTAATGCTTTTAGAAATATCCATTATAATATAAAAAAAATAATAGATTGTGATTGTTTCAGTATTTAGCTTACAATTATATCTCGCACAAAATAAATGACGACCACTAAAAAAATACTTTTTTTTTTCATTATTTAAGATGGGTTCATCATGAATATTAGTTAATTTTTCAATTAATTACTTTACTCGATTAAAAATCGAAAATATTTTTTTTTAAATTACGGTAATAATTTAAAAAAAAAATTTAATTTATCTAGAATATATTTAAAATTGCAGTTTTATGAAGGAAATAATAATTACGAAGGAAATAATGGATATACTTTCTCGTATTTTATTTTATGCTCGATAAAAATGACTGTAAAAATTTCTGTTTAATTTTCTTTTACAACATATTTTAAAAAATACATATTTATAAAAAAAAGTTTTATGAAGGAAATAATGGATATGGTTTCTTATATTTTATTTTATACTAAATAAAATCTAAAATATTTTTTTCTAGAAAATTAAAAAAAAACATATATATACAATCATGGTTTTATGAAGGAAATAATAATTATACTCTAATTAAAGAAGATATAATTGCAATTTATTTGTCTATAAAGCAACAGAAGTTCAGTATTTCATATCAATATAGATAATAATACAGTCAAAATAACCTTAGAACAATTCTAAACTTCATCCATAAAAATATAACCTTGCATTGCAAACGTCAGCAAAACTTATGTACGAGGTACGAGGCTGATCTATCCTCGTACCTCGTACATTACGTCATAACCTCGTACAAATACAAGGATCCTCGTACAAACAGCAACACTGCTGCTGAGGTAAACCTCTCCCCACATGATTTTTTTGTTTAGAAAAAAGACGTTCGTCTACTTCAACCACTTTGCCAGGTTCTCCAATTTTTTTTCTTGTCCTGTATAACATGTCATGGGCACAAACCTCTCTTCAACCTCACATCTCTCACAAACCTCTCTAGACATTTGTTCCACGTTACCATAGCTCCGTAGGATAGTTTCAGCTGCTCTTTGCCCCACTTCATCGTTGTCAAGCTATGGGACCACCCATAAATCAATTTTAAAGCTGTTAAAAACGAAATCCTCGAGCCCTCCAACCATGTTCTTTTCCTTATTGAAAGTTTTGTGTCATAAGTCCTACGAAATCATCTCCATTTGGCCTTCCTGGTTAACTTCATTCGATGACCTCGTTCACACAATTCACGTCGGTAAGTACCACAACATTTTGAAAATATTGAATTGCCTGGTCTACTGAAGGCGGCAAATCCCATATTCTAAGATCCATAATATGACGAAAATAAACGGGAAAAAATGAAAAATAAACACAAAGGGGCCAAAAAAAAAGAAGTAAAATAAACATAAACGGAGCAAAAATTAAAAATAATGAAAAATAAACACAAACGGGCCAAAAATAAAGAATTTAATAAGTGAACGTAATAAGGGAATAACTGAAAACTAAACAATGCAATAACTCAAAGGTTTGGCGGGATAAGAAGAGAGAGGTTATGTGACGTAGCGTTAGATAAGAAGTGAGGTTTCAGTCCGGCCCCCTAGACAAGAAGTACCATATTCCCTACGACGTCGCTCAAAACTAGATCTAAGACAAAAAACTAACACTTACACTTACTTACTAAAACCACTTTGGACATATGCATCACAAATATACGGAATTTCCAAAAAAAAACTGATATTCAGAAATTACAAATATTTCAGGCCAAAACCTTCAGTACAATCACTCAAACACCTTGGTATGTCAGTAACATAACTCTCCACAAAGACTTACGCATGCGAACCGTCACAGAACACATACAAACTTATTACAAAAGGTTTCACAACAAGCTCTATGGTCACCCCAATAGACTCATCCAAGACATGGCCAATAAAAAAATGCCCGATAACATCCGCAGAAGGCTGAAAAGGAGTTGGATGAGAGATCTCCTTAATTAACCACAAACATGACCGAAGATAAACCACTGGGTTTTTCTCTTCCTCATGCCTATCATGCCCTTTCTCCTAGTCTATTTGTACAGTTATCTCATTCACTGGTTGTCAGAGGACATTGACAGTTGTGAATTAAAAATAAAGAGGAAAAAATGAAATAAAATAGGATCTTCTCTGTGTTCACCTAATACTTTCTTTTTCCAGAATAACAAAAGCATTCATTCCTTTATATTTTTTATTTTACAGTAATTAACATTAAAATTCAATACTTATGTTTGTATTTTAGAAACGACTTAAAACAAGCTTTCCTCAAAAAACGCCAATGTTGACTGTTATTATTGTATCAAAACGTATCCAGACAAGGTTATTCAGAGAATTAACGAAAAAAGAGTTTACTGATAAAAAAGTTCCAATCCTAAATGATGGTATACCAAACTATACTAACCCTAATCCTGGGACTGTCGTAGATGATGTTGTCACTCGACCGGATAAGTAAGTTGATTTAAATATCATCTATGTTATTTATAAATAAATTCAATTTTATTTTTTTAAATAAAATTTTATCTTTTTTATTTAATAAAAAAATGTTAGGAATTCAAATAGAATTTCCTGCTATTCTGGCTGTGAATCAGTCTCCCCCCACTCATCGCGCTAGTCTGAGTTCCTCATCGTTCGGGATGAGATAAATGTCTTCAAACTATTAGCGAAACAGGCTCATACACTAACTCATGTGGCTCATAACTTCTTAAAAAGGCAAGTGGTAGCATTTGGAACCATTAGGCTCAGGGCCTCTTAATAGGTACAGTGGAACCGTTAAGAACTATTAATCTCTGTGATCCTTAGCAGGTCAAGTGGAAGCATTTGAAGCCATTAGGCTGAGGGCTCTTTAAGAGGTCTAGTAGAAGCGTATGGAACCATTAGGCTGTTGGCTTTCTAATAGATCTCGTGGAACCATTAAAAACTCTTATTCTCTGTAATCCTTAGTAGGTCAAGCGAAAGCGTTTGAAACCATTAGGCTCTGGACTCCTTAAGAGGTCCAGTAGAAGAGTTTGGAAACATTAGGCTCTTGGCTTCTTAACAGATCTCGTGGCACTGTTAAGAATTATTAATCTCTGTAATCCTTAGAAGGTATAGTAGAAGCGTTTGAAACTTTTAGGCTCTTGGCTTCTTGATAGATCTATCGGAATCGTTAACAACTATTCCTTGTAATCCTTATTTCGTTTTAAACCATTATGCTCAGGACTCTTTAAGAGGTCCAGTAGAAGCGTTTGAAACCGTTAGGCTCTTTTCTTCTTAATAGATCTAGTGGAACTGTTAGGAATTATTAATCTCTCTAATCCTTCGTAGGTCAAGTGGAAGCGATTGAAACCATTAGGCTCTGGAATCCTTAAGAGGTCCAGTAGAAGCGTTTGGAACAAATAGGCTCTTGGCTTCTTGATAAATCTAGTGGAACGGTTAAGAACTACTAATCTCTGTAATTCTTATTTAGTTTTGAACTATTAGGCTCAGGACTGTTTAAGAGGTCCAGTAGAAGCGTTTGGAACCGTTAGGCTCTTGGCTTCCTAATAGATGTAGTGGTACCGTTAAGAACTATTAATCTCTGTTATCTTTAGTAGGTCAAGTAGAACCGTTTAAAAAAAACTCTCGACTCCTTAAGAGGTCCAATGGAAGCGATTAGAACCATTAGGCTCTTGGCTTCTTAATAGACCAAGGGGAACCGTTAAAATCATCTTATCTCGGTAATCCTTAGTAGGTCAAGTGGACGCGTTTGAAACCATTAGGCTCTAGAATCCTTAAGAGGTCCAGGAGAGGCTTTGGAACCGTTAGGCTCTTGGCTTCTTAATAAATCTAGTGGAACCGTTAAAAACAATAACTATCTCTGTAATTCTTAGTAGGTCCAGTGGAACCGTTTGGGCTGAGGGCTCCTGAGCAGGAGCAGTGTTAGCATTCGGAACAATTAGGCTAAGGCTCCTAAATAGGTTTAGTGAAAGCGTTTGGAACCAATAGGCTCTGGACTCCTTAAGAGGTCTAGTTGAAGCGTTTGGTACCATTAGGCTCTTGGCTTTCTAATAGATCTCGTGGAACGTTAAGAACTCTTATTCTCTGTTATCTTTAGTAGGTCAAGTGGAAGCGTTTGAAACCATTAGGCTCTGAACTCCTTAAGAGGTCCAGTAGAAGTGTTTGGAACCATTAGGCTCTAGAATCCTTAAGAGGTCCAGTAAGAAGCGTATAAAACCTTTAGGCTCTTGGCTTCTTGATAGATCTAGTGAAATCGTTAAGAACTATTAATCTCTGTAATCCTTATTTGTTTTAAACTATTGGGCTAAGGACTCTTTTAGAGGTCAAGTGGAAGCGTTTGAAACCATTAGGCTCTGGACTCCTTAAGAGGTCCAGTAGAAGGGTTTAGCACGGTAAGGCTCTTAGCTTCTTAACAGATCTAGTGGAAACGTTAAAAAATATTAATATCTGTAATCCTTAGTAGCCCAAGTAGAAGCGTTTGAAACCATTATGCTCTAGAACCCTTAAGAGATCCAGTAAGAAGCGTATAAAACCTTTAGGCTCTTGGCTTCTTGATAGATCTAGTGGAATCGTTAAGAACTATTAATCTCTGTAATCCTTATTTGTTTTAAACTATTGGGCTAAGGACTCGTTAACAGGTCGAGTGGAACTGTTTGGAACCATTAGCCTCTTGGCTTCCTAATAGATCTCGTGGAACCGTTAAGAACTATTAATCGCTGTAATCCTTATTTCGTTTTAAACTATTAGGCTCAGGACTCTTCAAGAGGTCAAGTGGAAGCGTTTTGAACCATTAGACTCTGTGCTTATTAATAGATGTAGTGGTACCGTTAAGAACTATTAACTATCTCTGTTATCTTTAGTAGGTCAAGTGAAAGCGTTTGAAACTATTAGGCTCTGTACTCCTTAAGAGGTCCAATGGAAGCGTTTGGAACCAATAGGCTCTTGGCTTCTTAATAGATCTAGTGGAACCGTTAAAAAAATCTAATCTCTGTAATCTTTAATAGGTCAATTGGAACCGTTCGAAACCATTAGGCTTTGGACTCTTTATGAGGTCCAGTAGAAGCGTTTGGAACCAATAGGCTCTGGACTCCTTAAGAGGTCTAATGGAAGCGTTTAGAACCAATAGGCTCTTGTCTTCTTGATAGATCTAGTGGAATCGTTAAGAAATATCAATCACTGTAATCCTTAGTAGGTCGAGTGGAACCGTTTGCAACCATTAGGCTCTTGGTTTCCTAATAGATCTCGTGGAACCGTTAAGAACTATTAATCTCTATAATCCGTATTTCGTTTTAAACTATTAGGCTCAGGACTCTTTTAGAGGTCAAGTGGAAGAGTTTGAAATCATTAGGCTCTGGACTCCTTAAGAGGTCCAGTAGAAGCGTTTGGCACGGTAAGGCTCTTGGCTTCTTAACAGATCTAGTGGAAACGTTAAAAAATATTAATCTCTGTAATCCTTAGTAGGCCAAGTAGAAGCGTTTGAAACCATTATGCTCTAGAATCCTTAAGAGATCCAGTAAGAAGCGTATAAAACCTTTAGGCTCTTGGCTTCTTGATAGATCTAGTGGAATCGTTAAGAACTATTAATCTCTGTAATCCTTATTTGTTTTAAACTATTGGGCTAAGGACTCTTTAACAGGTCAAGTGGAACTGTTTGGAACCATTAGCCTCTTGGCTTCCTAATAGATCTCGTGGAACCGTTAAGAACTATTAATCTCTGTAATCCTTATTTCGTTTTAAACTATTAGGCTCAGGACTCTTCAAGAGGTCAAGTGGAAGCGTTTTGAACCATTAGACTCTGTGCTTATTAATAGATGTAGTGGTACCGTTAAGAACTATTAACTATCTCTGTTATCTTTAGTAGGTCAAGTGAAAGCGTTTGAAACTGTTAGGCTCTGTACTCCTTAAGAGGTCCAATGGAAGCGTTTGGAACCATTAGGCTCTTGGCTTCTTAATAGATCTAGTGGAACCGTTAAAAACATCTAATCTCTGTAATCCTTAATAGGTCAATTGGAACCGTTCGAAACCATTAGGCTTTGGACTCTTTATGAGGTCCAGTAGAAGCGTTTGGAACCAATAGGCTCTGGACTCCATAAGAGGTCCAATGGAAGCGTTTAGAACCAATAGGCTCTTGTCTTCTTGATAGATCTAGTGGAATCGTTAAGAACTATCAATCACTGTAATCCTTAGTAGGTCGAGTGGAACCGTTTGCAACCATTAGGCTCTTGGTTTCCTTATAGATCTCATGGAACCGTTAAGAACTATTAATCTCTGTAATCCGTATTTCGTTTTAAACTATTAGGATCAGGACTCTTTCAGAGGTCAAGTGGAAGTGTTTGAAACCATTAGGCTCTGGACTCCTCAAGAGGTCCAGTAGAAGGTTTTGGCACCGTAAGGCTCTTGGCTTCTTAACAGATCTAGTGGAAACGTTAAAAAATATTGATCTCTGTAATCCTTAGTAGGCCAAGTAGAAGCGTTTGAAACCATTATGCTCTAGTATCCTTAAGAGATCCAGTAAGAAGGTTTTATACTTTAGGCTCTTGGCTTCTTGATAGATCTAGTGGAATCGTTAAGAACTATTAATCTCTGTAATCCTTATTTGTTTTAAACTATTGGGCTAAGGACTCTTTAACAGGTCCAGTAGAAGCGTTTGGAACCATTAGGCTCTTGGCCTCCTAATAGATCTAGTGGAAACGTTAAGAAATATCAATCTCTGTAATCCTTTGTAGGTCAAGTACAAGCGTTTGAAACCATTAAGCTCTAGAATCCTTAAGAGGTCCAGAAAGAAGCGTATAAAACCTTTAGGCTCTTGGCTTCTTGATAGATCTAGTGGAATCGTTAAGAACTATTAATCTCTGTAATCCTTATTTGTTTTATACTATTGGGCTAAGGACTCATTACAGGTCCAGTAGGAACGTTTGGAACCAATAGGCTCTTGGCTTCTCAACAGATCTACTGGTAACGTTAAAAAATATTAATCTCTGTAATCCTTAGTAGGTCAAGTAGAAGCGTTTGAAACCATTAGGCTCTAGAATCCTTAAGAGGTCCAGTAAGAAGCGTATAAAACCTTTAGGCTCTTGGCTTCTTGATAGATCTAGTGGAATCGTTAAGAACTATTAATCTCTTTTATCCTTACTAGGTCAAGTAGAAGCTTTTGAAACCATTAGGCTCTAGAATCCTTAAGAGGTCCAGTAAGAAGCGTATAAAACCTTTAGGCTCTTGGCTTCTTGATAGATCTAGTGGAATCGTTAAGAACTATTAATCTCTGTAATCCTTATTTCTTTTAAACTATTGGGCTAAAGACTCTTTAACAGGTCCAGTAGAAGCGTTTGGAACCATTAGGCTCTTGGCCTCCTAATAGACCTAGTGGAAACGTTAAGAAATATCAATCACTTTAATCCTTAGTAGGTCATGTAGAAGCGTTTGAAACCATTAGGCTCTAGAATCCTTAAGAGGTCCAGTAAGAAGCGTATAAAACCTTTAGGCT